GTTTTGAATTGGATCTTTAGAAATACAAATAGCACTTGTATTATCACAGTAAATAGGAACACATTAAAAAATAATACCAAAATCTCTAACCTGTTGTTTTACCCAAAAGACCTGTGAGCAACATGTTGCTGCTGCCACATACTCAGCTTTAGCTGTGGATAATGCAACTGTGTTTTGCTTCTTGGAACCCCAAGAAACTAAACAAGGTCCTAAAAGTTGTACCATACCTGAAGTACTTTTTCTATTAAACAAATCACCTGCATAGTCAGCATTAGTAAAGCTATTTAATTCAAATGAATCATTTCTAGGATAGAAGAGACTCAAGTCATCAGTTCCTTTCAAGTAACGAAGGATTCTCTTTACTGCTTTCAAGTGAGATTCCTTTGGATTTTTTTTGGAACCTGGCACAAATACTTACACTAAAAGTTATGTCAGGTCTACTATCTATTAAGTAAAGTAGAGAGCCTATCATACCTCGATACATAGTTTGATCTATGCAAGTTCCAGTTGGATCTTCATCTAACCTAGTTCCAATACCCATGGGAGTCTTATTGGTTTTTGCATTGTCCATCTTGCATTTCTTGATTAGTTCCTTGATATACTTTTGTTGATGGATCATGATTCCTTCTTCAGTTTGTTTGATTTGCAAACCGAGGAAGAAGTTAAACTCCCCTATCATAATCATTTCTAATTCTCCACTCATTAGGTCAGCAAAATACTTACACAAAGATTCATTAGTTGCACCAAAACAAAAATATCATCAACATAAATCTGTACAACTAATATATCAGTTCCATTTGATTTTAAAAACAATGTTTTATCAATTTTTCCACGTTTAAAACAATTTTTCAATAGGAACTTTGACAATCTTTCATACCATGCTCTAGGAGCTTGCTTCAACCCCTAAAGAGCCTTGTCAAGCTTATAGACATGGTTTGGGAACTATGGATTATCAAACCCAGGAGGCTATTCCACATAGACTTCTTCATTGAGAAATCCATTTAAAAATGCACATTTAACGTCCATCTGGTACAGCCTAAATCCCATATAAGCCGCAAAAGCAATGAGTAAGCGTATAGCTTCTAACCTGGCTACAGGGGCAAATGTTTCTTCATAGTTGATTCCTTCTTGTTGATTGAAACCTTGTACAACAAGTCTAGCCTTGTTCCTGACAATAATACCATGCTCATCTAGCTTGTTCCTAAACACCCATTTTAATCCAATTGTCTTCTTTTGATTGGGTCTAGGTTCCAGATGCCAAACGTTGTTTCTTTCAAACTCATTGAGTTCGGATTGCATTGCATTAATCCAGTCAGCGTCAGTCAAAGCTTCAACATAGTTCTTAGGTTCCATAGAAGATAGGAATGCATAGAATGCACAGAAGTTCCTAAGCTGAGATCTAGTCTGAGTTCCTTTTGTGATATTGCTCATGATTGCATCCACTTGATGAGACTTCTGATGTTTCCAAGGCTTTGGTGTAATGTCTTTAATTGGATACAATCTTTCTTCATTGTTGATGACTGGTTCAACTGTAGGAACCTCATCTTGATTCTCAGTTTGAACTTCTTTAAGAACTTTTAAATTAACATCATTGTGTTTTGGAACTTGTGGAGTTCCTGTTGCATCTTCCATTATAGGTTCTCCATTTGCTTCTGGACTTGCTTCATTTTCCACCTGCTGCTTCTACAATGATGTTGATTCCTCATCTGGATCCTGCTTGCGCACAAGTCCAATTTCAAAATCATCATCACAATCCTGTACATTAATCAACTGCTCAATTTCATCAAATATAATATGTACAGATTCCTCAACACACATTGTTCTCTTATTATAAACTCTATAAGCTTTACTATTAGAAGCATATCCTAAGAAAACTGCTTCATCACCCCTTTCATCAAACTTTCCCAAATTCCTTTTACAATTATTATGAACAAAACATTTACATCCAAAAGATATGAAATAAGAAATGTTAGGCTTTCTCCCTTTGACAAGTTCATTAGGAGTTTTATTGGTGATGGCTCTAACAGATACTCTATTTAGAATATAGCACGTTGTGTTCACTGCTTCAGCCCAGAAGTTCCTAAGCAGTCCACTTGAAATTAGCATTGTCTTAGCCATTTCTTCAAGGCTTTTTTTATTGCGTTCCAACACTCCATTTTGCTGTGGAGTTCTTGGGGCAGAGAAGTTGTTATCCATTCCATGCTCAGAACAAAATTCATCAAATCTTGAGTTTTCAAATTTTGTTCCATGATCTAATCTAAGATGAATCAATGGATTTCCTGTTCTTCTATGTTCTTTCTTTACAAAAGCTACAAATTCATCAAACGTTTCATCTTTGCTTACAAGAACAAAAACCCAAGTGAACCTTGAAAAATCATCAACAATATCCATTACATATTTCTTACCACTTCTGCTTTGGATTCTCATAGGACCACATAGATCCATATGAATAAGTTCCAAAGTCCTTTTGGTACTTACCATATTTTTGGATTTGAAAGAAACTCGAGTTTGTTTTCCTCTAACACAAGCATCACACACTTTGTCATATAGGAACTTAATGCAAGGAAGTCCTTCCACTAATCCCTTAGATCTAAGTTTATCAAGTAAAGAATAGCTTGCATGACCAAATCTCTTGTGCCATAATAGAGGATCATCTTCAATAACACTGAGACATGTTAGACTGCTGTTAGGAACCTCGTTAAGATCCACAACATATGTGTTCCCTTTTCGAGTTCCTTCTAAGATAATGTTCCCAGTGTCATTGTGTATGATTCGAAACTTATTAGAAGTAAAGTTAACAAAGTTACCTTTGTCACAAAATTGTGAAATACTTAACAAGTTGTGTTTGAGACCCTCGACTAAAAATACATTATCAATAGCATGGAAACTTGACCTTCCTACTTTTCCAATAGCAATGATGTCTCCTTTCATATTATCACCAAAGGTCAAAGTTCCTCCATAATAGGCATCCAATGAGAGAAATTTAGATTTATCTCCAGTCATGTGCTTAGAACAACCACTGTCGAGGTACCAAGTGTTGTTCCCCCTCACTGGAACCTGCATGAAGAATCAAACGTTAGTATCAAGAACCCAGGTTTCCTTGGGTTTTTGTGTAATAGGAGTGGGATTATTTTTCATAACCCAAATATGTTCAACAAATTTTTCATTTTTCTGTGTACTTTTTTCTTTCTTAGGACATTTGACCTGCTTATGTCTTGTATTTCCACAGAAATAACAAACAATACTACTAGGCAAATTAACATACTTCTTTTCCTTTTGGAACTTCTTCTTAAAACCTAATCCTTCTATTCTTTTGGTCTGAGCATTAGTGATCCAGTCAGGAACTCTATACTCAATAGGTTGCTTTCCTTTCCTAACCTTCTCAAGTTCCCCCTCAAGTCTAGCTTTCTCCATCTTTGCATTTTCCAAATAAGATTTCAATTTTTCAAAATTGGTGAAATGAGCTAGAGAAGGAAATTCAGAATTAGGAGTATTTATACAAAGATTTAATAAGTACAGTTCAACATTTAAAAGTATGTTATCATGTTTCAATCTTTCTTTAGTCTCTTTTAAAACAGTATTATCATCAAAAAGACTAAAGAATCTGTATTGAATGCCAAATTTCATGTCATCAACCCACTCACTATTTTCTTTGTAAGTAGTCAAAGCTTTATCACTTTGCAGTTTAGCTCTATGCAATTCTTTAAGTTCCTCTTTAGTATCTAAAACAACACATATTAGATTCTCTGTAGAAAAATGTTTTAAATCTTTTTGAGAAAACCATACCTCAGCCTCAAGTTCCTTAAGCTTGGCCTTTTCATCGGTTTTGGCCATTAGACATAAATGAGCCGTTTCTTATAGAGGTTGGTCTTCTTCCTCTTCTGAATCCGTGTCTCCCCAGGCAGCTAGCATTGCCTTCATCACATTGTCCTTAGTGAAGTAAGGATTATATACTCTGGATTCCTTAGATTGCTCCTTAGCTTTGTTCTTTCCTTCCTTAAGTGGACAGTATTTAATGAAATGATCTTTTGCTCCACACTTGAAACACGTAGTGTCTCTGGAACCAGTGTACTTCTTGTTCCTGTCAAACTTCCTGTTATTCATCATCTTTTTAAATCGTTTGACTAGAATGGCCATTTCTTCTTCATCAACTTCTGAGTCCTCTCAGTCTTGAGCCTTTAGAGCAAGACTTTTGTTTTTGGAACTTTCAGTATTGGAACTCAAGTGTAGTTCATGAGTCATCAATGATCCTACTAGCTGTTCCATATTGAACTTAGTGAAGTCCTTTGCTTCCTTCATGGCAATAACTTTGGATCTCCACCGTTCATCTTGTGGAAGGCTTCTCAAGATCTTTCTATCCTGTTCATCAATAGGAATATGTCTGCCAAGGGAACTCAGTTCATTAATTATGTCATTAAATCTAGCAAACATTTCTTCTATAGTTTCCTTTGACTGCATTTCAAACCTTTCATATCTAGACATTAATAAATCGATTTTAGAACGTTTTACCTCATTTGTACCTTCATGAGTTACCTCTAGTAGATCCCAAATCTGTTTAGCAATCTTGCACCCCATGATACGATTATGTTCATGAGGTCCAAGACCATAATGTAAATACTTTATTAGTCAAGCATTCAATTCAAGTTTCTGATAGTCCTCTTTGTCATAATAAGAAATAAGTTTAGGAACTACCTTGTTTTTGTCATTGGTTGCAGTTACCTCAAAATCACAGCTTCAATAACACGCCAAACCTGGTAATTTTTAGCCTTGATGAAGATCTCCATTCTGTTCTTCCAGTAGGTGTAAAACTTACCATTGAACATAGGTGGACGTTGGGTGGAATACCCTTCTTCAAGTTTCTCCTTGTAGTTCATTTCTCCTAAGGAAATTACTTAGCAAAATTATGTCCGATATCAGATCATCTCGGTATGGTTCTTTGCATATTTGAACACTTTCGTATTACCTTTGGTAGATTCTTATCTGGTAGGCGTTCTTTGCAGTAGGCTGACGTGCAGTACCGGCCGTGGATCGGGTTGGTTGTCCCTGGGTTAGCCGCGCAGTATACCGCTGAGCGTCGCTATTTCTTAGGGACATATGGAGCAGTTGCATATCATGGAGAGAGGGTTGCTATTCACCATTCCTCGGACACTTTCGTCGTTCCTGCTCCTGCGCCGCGTCACATGTTCAATGGCGCGAGGTTGGTGAGCATGTCAGAGAGAGCTGGTACCCCTTGGCGATCTTATACGATCCATGGGCGGTGCTATGAAGAGGAGCTACTGTCGTTGTTAGCTCCAGTCCCTGTACTGGCTGAGGAAGTGGCGGTATGATTTCCATTTTTTACCTTCCGTTAAGTAGCCCCCAAGTAATATTTTACTAACTTTGATTTGCTTTTGTCAGGCTGGACCTACTAAGTTTGTGCCACCTCGTATGTCCATCCATTATCAGGGGACATACGGGTCGATCGAGGACATAATTCCTCCGGCTCCTGAGGGTGAGCGCTTCGTGGAGCGGTCGATTCCTCGTCACCAGACTTGGGTAAGCTTTATTTATTTGCAATTTTGTTCCTATATGTTATGCATCATTACCGACTTTATTTCTTTGACAGTTCTCGCGCAAGGTGGTCACGCCGATGGCACGGTGCATAAATGCCTTCCGGAGCCAGCTCGTTCGGATGAGGAATGTGGCTACGTGTTGTTATAGAGTAATTTTAATTAACTACACATTACTACAGAATTCAATGTAGTGAGAAAAAAAAAATGAAACACATATGATGATACATGGCGCACATGTGGCACTAAATAATAATTAAGGGTGACACATGGCATTAGCAGCAGGTTGTTCCTATGAGTTTTAATAATAATATAGATATTTTGCAAATATATATAACAATATATACTTATTTAATATTCTAGAAGATTTTATATGTTTTTTCAAAAAGCAAACATGTAAATATTGATATATCCTTCCTAAAATAGCAAAAATGTAAATATAGCAATATACTGAGTTACTCTGTATTCTAGAAGATCCCATATATTTTTCCAAAAAAAAAAACCAAACACACCATGAAGTAATTAACTTAAATACGTAGTGTTTTTTTTTAAGAAAAATAACTTACATATATTCACACATAATAATGGCAATTAAAAATATCGTTTGATACATCATAGCAAGTAATATTATAGTTGACGCACATACAAATATAATATTTTGAAAATCTGATTAAAAAAAATGGTAAATACTCATACTACAATTACTTTTTTGAGATATATTCTCTTAAATAAGTTAACAAATAAGTTAACTTTTTTGAGATATATTCAAGATATGATTTACTTAGTATCATCTTGATTGTATCAATTGATACCTTTTATTTTAATATCAATTGATATCTTTTACTTAATAAATTTTATAGTTTACTCACTTTTGATAACAAACTAAGCAATTAGGTGTTCTATTATATACGATTATGTATTGCTATTATATTTTAATAGAGATCACTATATAATTAGCTTAGAGAAAGTGAAGTATTATTACATTCAAATATTTGTGTTAAATATATGTCAAATCTTTATAATGTAGCTAAAAATAAAATAGATTTGACATATTTTTAATACAAATATTTATAAAGCTATAAAAAAAGAATTCTTAACATACCTTTGATTAGTTTCTACATAATTTTATATTCAACATATCTTTCATAAGCATTCATTTTGATCCAAATTTGTCAACTATGATTTTAAATTGTTTATTTTTTTGTTTATAAAAAACTGATTATAAGATAGTTTAATAATAGTTTTGAAAATTACCGTGCATGACACAGGAACTAACCTACTACTTATATACTAAAAGACACACCGGCAACAACACGTGTCATTTTCTGATGTGTCCCTTAAATTATAATTTTGTTTAAAAAAATTCCATATAAAATTCAAATATTATACATAAATGAAAGATTTGATACGTCTTTATATTTATTGCCAACTATAAACTTGATAGGCGTGTCGCGTACCTAACAAAAATAAACCTAACTAGACCACTACTATGTAGATGGGCAAGCAAGGGTCGGACCCCAAGAGACTATGGTTCAACTAATAATTAATTAGACTCAAGTAACTACTAAGAAAGTAACCAAATTAAATAATTGAGAATTAATAACTAAATATCATGAACGACGATTAAACTAAATAAAATGATAATCAAATACTAAATACATCTAAGATCAAGTTACCACGAATACAATTAATGCAATAATAGTTCTACCCCTAACATATAATTCAATTGATTAAAGAGGAAAAGTAATCCCTGAATAGTACCAATGGTCTCTTTCAAGTTATCAATGGCTTCCCTAATCACAATCAAGCCTACTTCCGTGGAATCATGTAAATTAAAGACCTTGAGCACATTACCCTAACTTCCTAATCATCCATTCAAATAGGTTTTAGATAGTCATTTATTTATCACTTTCTTCAGATATTATTTTAGACTTCTTTTTGGCTATTACGTTCTTCCATATTATTTTCTAAGGTTTTGCTTTCAAGACTCAAGATTTCATAATTAATTCCAATTATTGATTTCTTCTCTCAATTATTTTATTTTATTATTGTTAATTATGCTTTCTTTATTGATTATCATTCTTGTTTTCATTAAATGTGTGAGTAGTTTCCCTATTCCAAGATCTAGCGAAACCCAAATATGATTAATGCTCGATTTAATTCTTTAAATTCTCTAACGATAATTGCAATTGATATGCTTAATTGATTGTGCTCATGCCAATACTAGATTAGGGATAATTGGTATTGTTATTAATCCATTATTTAAATCGCAACGGGAAGGGTTTGAATATATCAATTAACGGTTTGAAGTTCAAATTAGATACTACCTCCGTTACAGGTTATGTGCAACGATTTGACATAAAGTAGAGAGGGAATATGTCTAATCGTTGCACATAACCTGTAACAGAGGTAGTATTTTTTTTTTTTTATCTAAATAGGACTCTCAAATGCTACCAAAACGAGTTGCCACAGGTGGGTTGTGTCACGAAGAAAACCGCCATAACCAGGCTGTGGAGCGGGCTGCCTTCGCCTCTCCCTTGCTCCAATATAGACGGCCACAACCAGGTTGTGGCTAACAGATTGCACGCCACAACCGAGCTGTGGAGTAGGCTAACAAAATGCTCCATTGATGCTCCATTGGTGCTAGAAACGCTCCACATAAAGAAATATCTCGCGATTAAAATAAATTCCACGCAAATCGAGCTCTATTCATATAAAAACAAAAACAACAAACCGGGAATAGCAATATCGAAATAGGAAGAATAATAACTTAAAAAGATTAGGAGAATGAAGAAAACACAGTAAAACATGACCAAATATCACATATAAATCGTGTATAATATCGTGTTATCAAATTCCCCCAAGCTAAACCTTTGTTGTCCTCAAGTAAAGCAACGAATAAATAAATCAATACTTCACCCCAAAAGTAATCAAAATCAAGAACAACCAATTCAAGGTAAATACAACAAATATGCTTCAAAATCAACCAACTTCATCCATCCAATCACTTATCCTCCCTAACAATTGTCAAGTAGAGCAAACCACAAGAGCATATAGAATTCAAAACTAGTGCTCGCACACTCGACTCTCATTTATGTGGCGAGTAAAAGACGTACTCGATCGCTCTCCATACCAACCCCATCATGTAAACAATTCCCTCCCAACTCACGCACTCGTGTGTTTAAAAAGGCATACACTCAACCTAATAGTCGACTCGGAATACGTCAAGTCGTTCCTTGCATTGATAAGTAACTACTTTCACATTCGCACAACTCTATGCACAAAGGTCGGAAGGTTTTTAAAGCTTGTAATGTAAGGTTAGGGTAAGAGGTAGGATAAATTTGGAAAAGTGTGAGAGAAAAGCAATGCTTAAGGGAGCTAAAATCCTAACAAAACCAAAGCCAAAAATAAATAATGAGCAATCATCTCCAACATAACTCAACTCCGCCAAAAATTCACCAATCATAAATCCAAAATCATATCAAAAATTTTCAACACTTACTATTTCACTCATAAAAATATAACAATGTAGAAATTGAGTGTATAAACAAACTTTGAACTCTTCCACTTGATTTTTCTTATTGAAACTCATTTTTTTTCTCCTCTTGATCAACCTTCACTTAGAACATTTGAACATTAAACAATTTTTTTTTCTTTCTTTTGAAGTTTTTTTTACTATATAAATTCAACTTCCAAAATCATCAAAAATAAACCACAATCAAGAACAAATATCTTCTAAATACCACCTCAAATTGTGCAAATCAATAGCACACCATAAACTCCCTCACCTTACTCACTAATAGCTCTCCCAAGCCAAGCTTAGGACTAGTAACCTGTAACACCCCGACCCCAAACAAATTAGGGAGGGGCCTAATGTCACGAAATGCGCATCGAGGGCCAACAACTGTCCCCACAAACCAACACAAGTCCTTCCGACACATTTTGTCCTCACTCAAGCGCACCCCGAGAAAACTTCCCAGGAGGTCACCCATATATATATATATATATATATATATATATATATATATATATATATATATATATATATATATATATATATATGGTTTTTTTTTACAAAAAAGTTGTTATAAAGGGTGGTTTTTTTTTAAATTTTTCCTATTTAAATTGATAATTGTAATCGATAATCAAACCACGTACTATGAATCATGTACCGTCGCAGAAATATTTGTGTAATTTAATGGAATACCTTGTACTTTTTATGTTGTCAAGTTATACTGCTACATATCCGACATTTTTTGTGTGACAAATTTAAATACTTAAGGTATAAGATACTATTGTCTACCTTAAAACCAAAAAAAGTAAATTAATGGACCAAGAAACAAGGTATGTTGTTATTATGTGGACGTACATATAAATTGTCATCTTCGACTACGAGGCTGAGGTCGTCGTCATCACCCCTGACCTTACTCCTACTGTCGCCGCTGCGGAGGACAGAGACTCTAACTCCAAGAGGATGGAAATCGACTATGCTTCTTCTTTAAAGTCTAGCAAATCTTCCTCCTCATTCTCCTCAACAAAATTGTCATCCTCCGGCCTTGCATCGTCAAAAAGCATTGGAAGGTCATCCTCGGACTCCGGTGGTGGTACTTAAATATCCGGCGGCAGTTGAGATTGGTCAAAGGAGGAGAAGACCGACTCTAAGAGCAATGGCGATTGGACAATGTACAAGCAGGAAGTGCCAGGAAATGTTTTTCTAAGATTATGTAAGTTAAGTAAATTTTAGTTTTTATTTAAGATAAGGTTTTAGTATGTACAAATAGTAGGTTGTAATAATAATATTAGTCTTATGGTTTAATAATAATATTATGTTATTTTAATGTATTTTGGATTCGGAAATTATGTCCAGATATGTTTTGTTGAATATTATTGTAGAAATTTCGTTGGATATTTAGAATAAAGTTTTTTTTTATTTTCATTTAGTTAAAAAGTTT